CACATACATTTCTCTCTCTCAAAAAAAAAAAGACATTTTCAGGAAAATCATTTACCTTGAAATAAGACATACTAGATAATCATACAGAATCAATATTAAATAACCAATTTACACACTTGTTATAAAGCAAATGTTCTTTTGAAAAAGGAAACAAATGCATCTGATCCACAACTAACTCTGAAATGACTCAGGGAAAATCAGAACATTCCTATGTGCACCTGTGAGTATACATATATTCTTATGTATGTGTTTGGGAAGGCAAAACTCATGCAGAAGAAAAAGAATGTGAAGGACTGAGAAAGATAATGCAAGTGTGATAAAAAAAAAAAGTTCACATTCACAGAGTTTGGTTGCAAAGCATGTTGGAGTAATTTAAATTACTCTCACAGCCTGTCTACATATTGGAATCCTTCCCAAATGGAAAGTTAACAGGGTAAGAGGGGAAGTAGGGAAAGAATTAAGGAAGCCAGAATGACAACACAGAGACAAAGCAGACAGGCTTCTGGGAATTCAGATTTGAACAGAATTTGGGAGAGAGGTCAGGGCAGATATCATGGATGGTGTACAGACATCTGAACGCCTAAGCAAAATAGGATTCAAAGCAAGGCTCAAGGATGCGAGCCCAGGGTTCCTCAACGAGCAGGACCTGACTTCAGTCGCACTAACTTCACCCTATTGCAAGAAAGCCACACCCGTGACATTGGCATCCCATAGTGGTGCCCGTTCAAGTCCTAGCTGTGTCACTTCCCATCCAGCTCCCTGCTAATGCACCTGGGAAATGCAGCAGAAGATGGCCCAAGTGCAAGGAAGACTCGATGAAGCTCCTGGCGTTGGCATGGTCCATCCCGGGCCATTTAGGCCATCTGGCATGAACCAACAAACAAATGGAAGGCCCCTGTCTAACTCTGACTTTCAATCAATCAATCTTGAAAAACAAAAGCTCTTTGCCTTACTGCAAGAACAATGCACTAGTGAGAAAAGTGACCCCTACCACCTCCTTTTTATTACTGTCGCCTTGAGATAAGGGTGAGGGTGGGAGGGAGAAGAGAGAAGGCCAGGAGAGGAAGAGACCAAGGCCTTCAGGGAATCCCCACTGACTTGAGGCCAGGAGGGAAAAGGAGACCGCTGAGGCCCACCAAGAACCCAGAGAGCAGGTGCAGGGAAGGGACTGGCTCAGGAAGCATCAGACACAGGGTTAGGATCAGAGAGCGCAGGGTACAGCAGAGGTTCAGATATGTGGCCATGACACCTCTGGCAGAGTCCATGAGGAGGCAGGTGCAACAGAAAGATGGGATGAAGCCAGAGAGAGTGGGTAGGCAGGCAAAGGAGAGAAGAGAATCCCCACAACTATTCCACAAAGTAGGAGGGTCTGGAGCTGTGTTGCCCCAGACAGGTAGCCAACGGCCCCATGGGATGCCTGAAATTCTATTTAAATAAACACACTAGCCAGATTTCATGAATTCAAAAGTTACATGTGGTGGCTGACTACCCCAGGAGTACAGGGCAGACAGGAAATATCACCATGGCAGAAAGTGCTTCTGAGCAGAACCAGAATTCCAGCACTGTCTTGTATGAGAATGGTCTTCTAACACACGGTGGAGTGAGGGCAGAGTAAGATGGAACCAAGAAAACCAGAGACAGGGAATCATGGGTAGAGCATGCTCCCTAAAGAGGCAAGAAGTGTGGTAGGGGTCAGTGTCCTGGCTAGTAGGTTAAGCCTCTGCCTATGGTACCAGCCACTCCATACTGTTCAAGTCCTGGCTGCTCACTGCCTGGGAAAGGATTGGCTCAAGTCCTTGGGACCCTGCACCCATGTGGGAGACTCAGAACAAGCTCCTGGCTCCTTACTTTCAATCAGTCCAGTTCTGGCTGTTGCAGCCATTTGGGGAGTGAAACAATGAGAAGATCTCTCTGTCTCTCCTCTCTCTGTCACTCTGACTTCCAAACAAAAAGAGAAACAGATCTTTAAAAAAAGAGAGAGGAGAAGAGGCATAAAGGAAGGAAGAAGTCCAGAAGCTGAACAGAACGGTGTCTGTGGATTAATCTCAAAGAAGGGACTCGCAGATATCAAGTTCCTTTGAGAAACAGCAAACAAAAAGTGGAGGAAAGTAGTTGGCAATAGGGAGCAAGGTATGCTAAGAAATTATACTGAGTGAAGAACAGAAAGCTCAAACGGGGACATTCTTGATCTCATCAATGACAAAAGGCTACATCCTGAAAGAGAACCAACTAGATGTTTAAACAATGGAACAATTAGACAATGTGTCTAAAGGCAGAGTTAATAAAAAGTGAACTTTCTTTCTTATACTCCATAGGAGAGCATGACCTAGATGAAATTAGAGGAGGCATAAATCTGCAGTGGAACCAATCCAGAGAGCTTTATGACTTTCTCCCAGATAACCTGGCAAGCTGCTGGGGGATGGGGAGGTAACTGAAGACCAGAATATAAAAAGCCCAATAACATTAGGAGGAAGGATTGCAGCAGTTCACGCAGCAGAATTGGAGTGGCAACCCACACACTTCGAGTGAAGAATGGGAACTCAGGAATTGAGACAGCCAGTGATTAACCAGACACAGTCCTCAATGATGGCTACAAGCAGGTGCAGTCGGCAGACATTAACTGCAAAATAGGCAGAAGTCCAAGTTCCAGATCTTGAAAATGAGAAAATTCCCAAGACAGCACCAAACCCAGAAAACCAGCAGCTGAAATGAAGTGGAAACGGAACCAAGAAGCTTTTGATGTTGAGGGATTTCAAGGTTGATGAGTGAAAAAGTCCCAACATAGACCCCCAAAGTCACAGGCAGGAGACAAGGCAGAGAAGAGAAGGAAGCCAGTGGCTCACATTTTTGGACGGCTGTTTGGTACTTCTCGGTAGCATCAAGTGAAGTGATTCCCAGCCCTGGGTGTGTATCCGAATCATCCACAGAGCTCTGTTTTCTCTTGTCGTCCTCCCTCCTCCACCTCTCCTCCTCCTCTTTTTTGGGTTTGTTTTTAAAATGAGCATTTTTTTTTTTTTAGGACTCAACCAGCCTGACAATTCTAATTTAGTGTATTTGAGAGTCTACAAAGCCTTGTTTTTCAAAATGTTCCAGGAGATTCTGAGCAGCCTCCAAGTTTGGGAAGTGCTGAGCCAGAAAATCAGGCAAGAAGGATGGAGGCACGAGCAGGCAGCACGACCTTCTCGGGGAGACCCGGCTGGCGACACAGACCCGTCGGTGGAGGGTTTGGCACTAAGGTGCCAAGGCACAATGCGCATGGCTCCGATGGGAGAGCACGGCAGAGGGTGATCTGAGGAAAGCTGCTGGTGCTACAGGAGAAAGAGGAGCTGGGCTCAGGCACGAAAACAGGAAAACACACAAGTATGGCTGCAGGATGCAAACTCCACTGAGACCCAGGTGGGACTCGGTGCAGGTGAGTGGTGGCAAAGGCGCAGGGCTGAACAGTTCTTAAGGAGGATTCAAGTTCAACCAGGTGTGGCTCCTTAGCAGGTGTATAGGGTTTCATGGTTGAATTCCTGAGCAGAAAGGAATTCACTGACTGTAGGCAGTCAGATTTCTAACATGTAAATCATTAAAGAGTATGAACCCCCCCGAAGCAAACAACCTTGCAGAAGCTTATTCATTAACACGGAGAAGTCCCAGCTCACATTCTCAAACACGTGAGATCAGAATGCATGTCAAGGGTAGACTGGATGCAGAAAGTCAGAAGGGGCAAGGAGACGCTCTGGGAAGACGGCACACTGTCTTCCTTCCCCCTCCCTTGGGAGAAGAGGGAAGCTGGTGCACACAGAATATGGAAGAGACTGTCTTTTTTAGTATCAGCCAGTGACAAAAATAGAAGAGGTGCTACAGCCTACTGGGTCTTAGGAACAGCCCCCTTACACACACACACACACACTTGCATGCACACCCAGATAGGTTCTGAAAGCAGACCTAAACTGCACATCGTAGGGATGGTCCTTCCCGAAGACCATATTTCCTGCCCCCAAACCTACCTCTTATCCGAAGAGTACAGGCTTACCCTGCATTTCAGAGAAGGCCACTTGTGAGGATGCAAAACATCTGAGCTTTAAGTTGGGTTACCCAGATGAAAGAATTTCCAACACTAGCACACACAGATTCTAAGCCGAGAGAGGCGTCTGTGTGTGTGTGCACACATGCACACACACACACACACAGACACACACACACATTCTGAGGCTATGACTCACTTAACTTGCTGCTACCTGCCACTATTGGGTTTTGATTTCACCTGTTCAAACACAAAGTTTTCTATCAATTAACTGCAGGGGAGAAGTACTCACTCTGTGTGTTCCTGACTTGCAGGCAAACTCAGGGGTTTTAGTCTGTGTGTTTAAAGAAGCCACTTTCTGAACCCACCTCCACAGCCTGGCATGAAAACGTGAACCCTGTTTTCGGCGCTCTGAGAACTAATAAATGGGAAGTCCTGGCAGAATACACACGGTTAAGCCTGTATCCCCATACCCTGCAGAACACGATGAGCCCGGAGGCTCTTCCTCAGCTTGCAGAATAAGCACAGAATAAGACACCACAGCACCTGGGAGCTGCAAAAACACCCAAGCCCCTCCTTCCAAACCAGCGAGGGGAAAAAAGCGAAGGGGCTGCGAGGCGCAGAACGGCTCACCTGCCCAAGGTCACTTAGCTCTGGCTGCAGGGATGGCTGGCTCGCCCCGACGCCGAGGGCAACGCCGAGGGCAGCGCGTGCACCGCGCCAGCTCTCCTCACCCCAGGCAGTGCCCAGGAGGTGGGCGCGGGGGGCGGGGAGGAGCTGTTGCGGGGTCCGCGAGCATGCAGCCCCCGCGAAAATGCCATGCCCAACTTCATCTCTCGGCGTCAGCATGCGGTTAACCCTTCTCGCCTTCCACCACGTCACACGGGTCACACGCAGCGCTGTCTGTCTGTCTCTCCCCTTCTCTTTCTCCTCCCACCCCACGCGTGCCTGCCCCCTGAGGTCAGCGGCGGTCCGACCTGGCACTCACCGGCGCGGGGGGCGGGCGCGCCGCGGCAGCCCATGTCCTCGCCGGCGCGCGCGGCTGGGTGCGGCGGCCGCAGGCGCGGGGCTGTGCGGGGCGCCCGGCTGCGGGCCCGCGCCGCGGGGAGCGCCGCCCAATCAGCGGTTCGAGGCTCGCGGCTCGCCGGCGGGGTGGAGGGGGAGGAGGAAGCGAGCCGTCGCGCGCCGCCCGAGCGCCTTCCGGGCGCGTTGCCTGGACGCGGTTGCCGTGGCAGCCCGAGCTGGAGGCTTTCCCCGCGCACCCGCGCCCAGCCCGCCGGCGCCGCCCCTGCTGCCTCCTCCTTCCCACACCCAAAATAGCCTCTCTTTCCTCCTTGGGTTCTGCTGTTTGCCGGAGAGCCGGCGTCTCAGCGCCGCCGAGGATTTCGCTGCTGGGGAAATAGATCGTGTCTCGGGGCGGGCTGGGTCCGATGGAGGTAACCAGCCGCGTTTCACAGGGCTGGCGCTAGGGCCCAAGCTGGCTGTGTGGAAATCTCTCCCGAGCTAAGCCCCTTTTCCCGCAAAGATGGTTCTCTTTCCTCCCTGCCTCAAAGAGAGGATAAGTTGCTGGAGGGGACCTCGGTCGCAGGTGGACGCCTCACCTGGGAAGGTGGGACTGAGACCCCGGGGCCGCCACCTGTCGCTCATCGAGCCTCCTGGACCCACAGCGGGGACCGAGGACGCGTCTCCGTTAGACTCCAGGCTCCACAGCCTTCGTCGCCTTTGTATCCCACCCACCCACCCGCAGCCCTGCCATCGCCGTCCCAGTTCGCCTTCCTCTTTGTGTTAGATTCACAGCAGGATACCTGAGCCCATCCTCCTGTCGTTTTGCTTCCACCCGTTGCGGAGGCGGGACTCAACCTGTGCGTCTGCCGCGCTGCTCTTCCGTGGGTGCTGTCGCTTACGGAGACAGGTGCAACCCCGGGAAAGGAACGCATCTCGGCAGGAGGATCCGGACTGCAAGGAATCCCGGTTTCAGCAGCTATTCCTCACCTGTTGAACAGGACAATAATTCCACACCACCATCAACACACACACAGAGTCGCAGCTAATGCATCTGCGACGTTTCAGTCAACATCTGTGGGATACCTGTCAAGTGCTACAAACTAGGCTAAGCTTTAAGAGCAATGGTGAAGAGAGAGATGGCTTAAGCTTTCGCGGAGTTTACAGCCTGGCACGTGTTCATTTAACCACTGACAACTGAAACTGCCCATGTGATGGACGGAGAGTCATGACTTTGAGTCCTGTAATGTGGGCAGATGGGATCTACCAACATCTTTGGGCACTGTGGAAGCTCAGTGATTTTTTTTTTTCCTCTGTTAGATTCTCACTGTCGAGTGCATGATACCTACTCCTCAAACACACAGTGAATTGGATCCTATGTCATGGTGATGACAGTATTACTCAGGCGATACTTTCGACCACTTAAAATATACTGGACACATGTAACTTGCCCCAGTTTCTGGAAGGGTGTTCCAGCATCACCAGAAAACACGTATTCAAACGCAGAACCCCAGGAAATATTCCCCCAGCGGTCCGCAGGAAGACTCAGAATTCTCGTGTCCCTATGAGATGTGCGTCTCTGAGGTACACCAGAGGAACACCTGTAACACAGGACACTGACTTGCCAATTTCTGCAGGCTTCAAAGCATAGCTTTGATATTGAGAAATAGGGAAGAAGAGGACTCTGGCCACCTGTACTCACCCTTCTAGATAGACTGACTGCAATTTCCCTCGTTAAAAATGATACCAATTAACATAAAGAGAACTTCCAGCTTAAAGATTCAATAACAAGGGGACAGGCTTTGGCTTGGGGGTTGAGCATCCATATCACCTTTCAGGGTATCTGGGTTCAAACTCTGGCTACAGCTCAGTGACTTCAGTTTCTGGCTGAACGCAGACCCTGGAAGGCATCAGTGATGCCTCAAGCAGAATCAGGCTCCTGCCATCCCTATGACTGACCTGGACTGCATTCCCAGCTTCTGGCTGTGCAGACGCTGGGTAGTGAGCCAACAAATGAGAGATCACTTGCTCTCCTTTCTTCACTCTTTCTCTCTCTCCCACTCTCTTTCAAATAAACCAACAAATAAGTGGCACAGTGCGGTGAATCATCACCTCTGACCATTCGAGTGCCATCCGTATGAGGGCGAGGTGAAGTCCAGGCTGCTCCAGTTCCAGTCCAGCTCCCTGCTAATGCACCTGCAAACTCAGCAAGAATGTTCCTGGTGCTTGGACTACTAGCACCCACAGAGGAAACCCAGATGGAATACTTGGGTCCTGGCTTCAGCCCCAGCGGTGTGGCCGTTTGGGGATGAGCCAGCCAACTCTTTGCTCTCCGTCTGTAACTCTGCCTTTCAAATATTTAAATAAATAAATATGTTTAAATAAAGATTCATTAACACTAACACCAATGCTTGTATTCCTTCAAAACTGATTCCTTGATACAGATTCCAGGGTTTTAAAGTGGCCTTGAGTCATACCTATGGATGGCTTGTTTTTGCTCTTAATTGTTCTTTAGGTGGTTACTGTTCTCTCAAAAACTATGCTTTACTTATTAACTTGTTGAAGTCTACCAATTACAGTTTTTTAAATTTGCTTTTATTTCTGTTTGAAAGATCCATAGAGAGAACAAGAGTCAGAGAGAGAGAGATCTTCCATCTGCTGGTTCCCTCCCCAAAAGGCCATCATGGCTGAAGCTGAGCTAATCCAAAGCCAGGAGCCAAGAGCTTCTTCCAGAGCTCGCCTATGGATAGAGTGACCCAAGGACTTGAACCATTCTCTGCTGTCTTCCCAGGCCACAAGCAGGGAGCTAGATCAGAAGTAGAGCAGCCTGGACTAGAACAAGTTCTCCACCTGAGATGTCGGCATTGCAGGATGAGGATTAACCTGTTGAGCCACCATGCTGGTCCCACAAGGATTTTTTTAAAGTAGCTATAATTAAGGTGTAACAAGCAGAGAAAACATAAACTAGTGGGAAGATCCCGCCTAACAGTGCTTATATCTTAGCTTAGATAATTGTTGGTGTACAGAGGAGGGCAAATTCAACCTGAGGGTTTGTTTAAATAACACACAACTGAGCCTGAACATACTACTTATCAGAGCGTGAAGTCTGAAATAAAGAAGGCTTTGCCTGAATAACTTATAGCTAGAAAATCTAGAATAACCTCTTAAGGAAACTGATTCATCAAAGCCTATTCTATTATACATTGAGGCACAAACACGAGTCTGGAATTTGAAACCATAATGCTTTAATTCAGTATAGTTCAGCACACACTCAGGGACTACCTTCTATCAGCCAGTCATGACAACATAGTTTAAGAAGTGAGCTTATATGTAAGCTGATATTCTTGTTTCCACTTCTTTCCCAGGGAGTACATTGATGGATGGTGGCCTCCTTGGGTGTGAGAATTAAAAGACAACTTTTACTTCTTTTCAAACACAACAAAAAATGACAGCATCTGCTCTATGTAGGTACGCAGGATCATGACAAGTCATGCTGGGACCAGGTGGAAACACCAGGAATATAAACCCAGTCCTTATCAAAAGTTTTCTTATGTTGTGAATTTTTTTTGCATTGGTTTTGAGTTCTTGAATATTGCATCAAATAGAACTTAGCTTGATCTTTGAAATTTTGTCGCACCCCCTTAAATTCTGCATCTAAAACACCCCCACTAGGTCCTGATGCTATGGAGGCCAAGGTATATGTGTCAAGCCCTGTGCTAAAAGCTTACCTATAGTATTGCATTTCTTCCTTGCAACAACTCATGGATAAACTGAGGTTTAGACGCAGTGTGGGACTATGGAAAGTTCCAGGTCTGCTACATTGTAAAGCTGATATCCAAACCTGGGCATCACTTGACATCAAAGCCTGTGCCTTTAACCAGGTGCTAAATCACCAACCCCCCCAAAAAATAACCAACACGTGAAACAGATGAGAAAGAATGCATCACCACCTTCTGTAGATGAAATGTGTGGCATAGCAAGCTTTATATATTCTTTCCCTTCTCCCTTCTTTCCCCCAAGGAAGCACATATCAAAAACTATGCATGGTAACTTTAAAGTTAGTTTGAAGGAGCAACTTAATTTTAGCATTCCGTGTGATCTCTTATACACGCACCTCATTAGTGAAGGCGTGACCATTTAGAGGAATTATTCAGAGAATTCAAGGAATCAAAGTGTGGAGTTGCATGGTATTTAGTGCAGTGGTTAAGTTCTCACTCAGGGTGCTCTCAAAGGGCCCAGTTCAGGTAGGCCCCAGCTCCTCCACCTCTGCTCTAGCTCCCTGCTAATGCAAATGCTAGGATGCTTCGGGTGATGGCTCAAGTAACCAGGTCCCTCTTATCGTTGTGGGAGACACAGATTGACTTCCCAACAACCTGCCTTTGGCCAGCAACAGCCCGGCTATTACGGGCATTGGGGAAACCAGCCACTGATTCTCTCGCCCCACCCCCTTTACTCTGTCCTCAAATAAATAAATAAAATATAAATGTTTAAGAGAGAGCAATATATAGAGAACCTTTAGTGTAAAATGTACAGAGTCAACATATTTGGGAAATGCAATTATATTCCTAAACAAACTGACGTCAGTTTTTAATGAAAATATGCTTGTCAGTAAAAGGTAGAGTATTATACTTTTAAAAAAATCATAACTAGCAAATAACACATATCCTGATCTTAAAACAAAATTAACATTATGCAGTTGCTCTGAAGTAGAGAAACATTAAGTTCAATCCTCTTTGTTTTCACTTCAACATCTGCACATTATAATAGTTTTCATACACAAATGCAGGTTCCCCAAAACAATTAAATTACATTTATTAACATGATTTAGTAAAGATGGTTGGGTTGTAGGATTCTCTATTAGCTGTTAGAACCTCACCTAGCCATGTAGTGGAGCTGCCAATTCTGCTGCTGCAGAACATAGCTTTTTCTTCATGTTGGAAGCATAAATAAAAAAACTGACATTTTCTTTGTGCCCTTAGAGAAATTCATGCTGTGAAGGTACTGGAAATTCTTTCTGTATGCTTGGACAAGTGATTTACCCACCCTTTAACTCAGTGTTCTCCTTTGCAAAATGAGTAGAATACAACTCCTACTCCGTTAG